TTTTTTTTTTTTTTTTTTTTTTTTGAATGTCCAGAGGACCAGATTTAATTTTTTTAGATGCAGAGTGAAGTGTTGTGGTCAGTTTGTCCTCCAGCAGTTTAAGCCTATAGCAGCAGAATTTAGGAATAGCTCTGGAAACCCAAGCCAACACCAATCTATAGGATCTATTAAAAAGAAAAGTCTTAAGTCTGGTCTTAAAAATACACAATTTCAGCCTCACGAACAGAAGTGGAAGTTGATTCCACAAGAGAAAAGCCTGAAAACTGAAAGCTCTGCCTGTCATTCTACTTTTAGAAACTCTAGGAACCACAAGCAGATCTGCAGTTTGACACCGAAGTGCTTGGTTTGGAAAACATTGAACGATACGATCTTTAACGATCTCTCTTGACTCGCTTATCCTTAACTTTGCTGTATTTTATATTTCAGTTTATTCCTGTTGATCTTTGCACTGTGCTTGTTTTTACACAATCTTAATATGTTTCTTACTGTAGTGTCCTGAAAGGCGCTTTTTAAATAAAACGATTATTATTTAATATATTGATTGTTAAGAGCTTTGTGTGTTAAATTCTACTCTGAACCTGACTAGAAGCTAAAACTGGAAAAAAATGTATAAACCTCTTTAGAACTCTAGCAGCCAGATAATAAATTTAATTCTCAATAGTCGGTAAATAGATTTAGCCAAAGCTTCTGTTGGGGGCAATGAGAGGTCAGGATCTCTTACCCACAGATGCTTGGACCTGTTGGTCTGGTTGCAAGTTGTACAGATCCCTCAGAGGAGACAGGGATCACCTTTGGTGTGTTGTTTTCTAGAGTAATGGAGTCTTTGAACCTGCTGCGATATCTGGTCATCAGAGATAAGGTCACAGAGAACCAGGTGAGTGTACAGCAAGGTTTGAAGTTTTCATTGCTCTTTGGTTTCAGCTAACCACGTGTATTCAACTCCTCCCACACCAGACTGGTATCTGGACAGAACTGTATAAAATAGAAGATACGTTCATAAAGCCACTGCGTGTTGGGCTGAACATGTCAAGAGCTCACTACGAGAGGGAGCTGCATGACACCATGGACAGCAAGAAGACCACAGGTCAGTTTTGCTGTCAGAAACACACAGATGCTGAGTTTTCCTTCCTCTGAAAGCATGTTTGTTTTCCAGAGTCTGTCCTGTCTGTGTCTGTTGGAGGAGAGAAGCTGCCAAAAATGACCTCAGAATCTCAGATTCAGGTGAGTCTCTGCTTCATACGGAGTGTGACTGTTCAGATGACATGACTGTAACCAGAGAACCGAATGATTTGAACTCGTCTTTTCAGGCTCTACACTCAGCTCTGCACACATTCGACATGATCGAGAGTGTGTTGGTGCGGATAGAAGAACTCATCGAGGTGAAGGACAGCCTGTAATCTGCAGGAGGCCCTCAACATCTCAGGGCCTAGAGAAAAGTGTTAGATTATTTGGGTTTTGAATGATTATATCAATCTATGCATTGCTGTTTTTTATTTTAATATAAATGTTGTTTGTACACAAGGTTAAACTGTCTGTTCTTGTAATTTCACTGTAATATTTTCTGAAGCTGGAACTAGATAACTCATATGTAATAAACATGTTATGTTTCCTAAATTAACTCAGAATAAAAGGTTTTTATACACACACACACACGCACACACGCACACACACACGCACACACACACACACACCAACTTATAGCTCAGTGTTAAACTGAAAGAGTTACATGTCTTCATGTCAGCTGTGGCAGCCTCCTTGAGTTAGGTTAACCCCAACAGTTGTAGATGCGCAAGTAAGGATTACTTTGAGTTTTACTGATGTCAGACAGACAAGGGCAAAAACTTTCATCACCTGCAGGTGATAATCAGCCATTTTCATTTGTTATAAAAAGGCCGGATTTCAAGGTTAATGAATAAAACTGAGTGACCCACACAACAGCTTTCAGCACATAAATATCCATGCAACCCTTCAGAATAAAAGCCCTTTCAGTCAGTTCACGCTTTAATAAGAAGGTAGTTGTTGGGTCATCCCTTTAAAAACAATGCAAGGGGTTGAAATGCTTGTTGATTTTCAAACAAACACATTTATTAACCAGAATTACCATAAAAGCTTTTGTGAGCTGCTACAGTCACAGATCGTTGAACAGAGGGTGCTGCAGGGCATCAGCAGCTGTGATTCTAGTGGAAGGGTTCAGGTCCAGCATTTGATCCAACAGCTCATAGGCCTCATCAGGGACTGTGTCCCAGCCCAGCTCGTCTTCCTCCACCTCACTATCTGATACTGAACTCTGCTTTGTGAGGCAGGCTGCAGTTTCTCCGTCTCTGTGTGGATGGAGGGTTGGGTCAGCGGGCCGGTGGGTGGGAGTCTCATCATGGATCTTCTCTGAACACTTGGCCTCTGCAGCTGGAGTGACTTTGTTGTTGCGTGACGACCCGCTTCCTCGAAGCGTCTCGCACAGCGTTCGGAGGTCCTGACAAGGAAGTTCCTGACTGCACACCAATGCCTTTCCTAAATAAGATTCAATTCAATTCAGTTCATTTATATAGCACCAAGTCACAACAGAAGTCATCTCAGGGCACTGAACAGAAACATTCACATACATAAAAATTAAATTAATAACATTATTTATCTGAGGAGCAGACTGCTTTGAATCTTACTTCATCACAGACTCACCCTGACCAAGCATGAGTCCAAAAACTAAAACCTCAGTCTTATGTGTATTCAAAAGCAGAACATTTAGGGTCATCCAGGTTTTTATGTCTTCAAGACATGCTTGTAGTCTAAGTAGCTGATTGGATTCATTGGGTTTCATGGCCGGATATAATTGTGTATCATCAGCATAACAATGAAAATTTATCCCATGCTGTTTAATAACTTTACTTAATGGAAGCATATACAAGGTAAAGAGTATTGGTCCAAGCAGTGAACCCTGAGGAACTCCATGACTAACTTTGATGTATGAAGATTCGTTATTTACATTTACAAATTGGAATCATATCAGATAAATGTGATTTAAAACAATTTAGAGCTGTTCCTGTAATCCCAATATCATATTCATGCCTCTGTAATAGAATATTGTGATCAGCTGTATCAAATGATCCAAACCACCAGAACAGCTTTATTCTCCACACAAAGCTGAGTCAGAATCTCATTCTAGAGACTGGACTAATCTAAATGAATAGCCCAAGTAAAAAAAAAAAAAAAAAAGTTAATACACACCGAATGTTTTGGCTGCCCTGATGGTCTCTCTGGAGCCTCGTACAGTCATTATTTGAGTGAGGGCAATCAGGTCATCACTGGCCTTAAAGAACGGGTACCGACCGCTGAGAAGTGAGAGCAGGATCACTCCAGCTGACCACACATCTATGGCTGAGGAACGGGAGAGAACGTTAGTGACGACAAGAGCCACGCTGCTCTTTCTGCAGATTGGCTGGCCTCATCAGTACAGGTGGGGGTTACAATCTCTGCTTTATGCATCTTGATGTAGACATGATTGTTTCTGAAGAAATGTATACATATTTGATTACTGGTGCTGGTCATGAAATTAGAATATCATGAAAAAGTTGATTTTTTTCAGTAATTCCATTCAAAAAGTGAAGCGTGTATATTATATTCATTCATTCATTAGACACAGACTGATATATTTCAAATGTTTTTTTTTTAATGTTGATAATGATAACTGACAATTAACGAAAACCCCAAATTCAGTAACTCAGAAAATTAGAATATCGTGAAAAGGTTCAATATTGAAGACACCTGGTGCCACACTAATCAGCTAATTAACTCAAAACACTTGCAAAGGCCTTTAAATGGTCTCAGTCTAGTTCTGTAGACTACACAATCATGGGGAAGACTGCTGACATGACAGTTCTCCAAAAGGTGACCATTGACACATTGAGAGGCGAAAGAAAGGAAAAGATGTGGTAGAAAAAAAGTGTACAAGCAATAGGGATAACTGCACCCTGGAGAGGATGGTGACACAAACCCATTCCAAAATGTGGGGGAGATTCACAAAAAGTGGACTGCAGCTGAAGTCATTACTTCCAGAACCACCACGCTCAGACATATGCAAGACATGGGTTTCAGCGGTTGCATTCCTTTGCATTCCTGATTCTTGAAGCAATGACTTCAGCTGCAGTCCACTCTTTGTGAATCTCCCCCACATTTCACGGTCCCCTGCCCACTTTTTAATCTGCAGCTTCAGAGCAGTGCTGTACACAACTGAGGTTACTAACCTGTGCCTTGGTTGGGACACTTGGTGAGGACTTCAGGCGCTCTGAAACCGGGAGTCCCAGCTCTGGGTGCCACCTGCTGTTTCCTTCAAACAAAAGAAGGGTGAGGAAACAACAAACCAAGACTTAGCACAACAAATCTCTGATTAGTGATGGAATTGTTCTTTATGAATTTGACACAGTCTTATTTTGATATTCACAGTAAAACTGAAAACTAATTTGAGGAAACAACAAAGTTCATGCTCAATGTGAGGAACTGCTTTATGTTTGATGATTTTTTTTTACCTGGCCATGCAGATGTTGCAGACTCGGTCAGTGAGGTAGCAGCTGCATGTGAGGCCCGGCTGTAAGGCCTTCTGTGGTTTCTGACTGCTGCTCTGGGTCCTGACAGGCAGCGGGCCCTGGGGGGCCAGATCCGCAGGCTTTCTGAGCTTGAGATAAAGTAACGAGAGAGCGTGAATACTTGCTCTTTAAAGCAAATTAGAAAACCTTTAGGTATCCATTTCTTTTATTTTGACAAGAACTGTTTTTCTTAGAGGAATGCATATCACCCGCCACATTTCATGGCAGACGTTTTAGGTCACATTTTGTAAATTAAGTTACGTGTGATCTGCTATGATATTGTGAGATCTCATAAACTTAAAGTGTGCATACGTTGTGAGTATAATTAAAATTTGTTTGCGATATTTTGCTAACAGACAAACAGTGCTGACTAACAGTTAACACAAAAATGTGTCACTCATGAGTATGGGGCTGTGACTGACTCTCACCTACACCAAATTTTATTTCTTAATATCTGTCAAACTGACTGAGCAACAGCCATTTTTGTGTTTGCTGAGGTTGCTTAGCTGTGGGAGCCATTTTATTATTGCCCCATGCCTCTGGCAGTGGTAATGACTAAAATGAAGTTATTTCTACAGTAGGAGCACAGCAACTTAAAGTGACTGTCATATCAAAATCTCATAATAACAACATGCTTTTTTTTTTTGGAAGAACAACAGTGAAAAATAATCATGCCACTAAGATGAACAGTTGTTGACATATTTGCGTGCACAGTAACAGGAAGTGATGACAAAGAGGAATGGCTGCGTGTGAACGGAGCATTGCTACAACTCCTGACACACAGACAGAGAAGAATCTGATGGTTCTTTAGATTATCGTACTTGCCGCCGTACAAGTCGCATCAGTTCCAATACGTCTAATAAAGTGGGAAAAACATACGTCGCTTCGCCGTATACCTCGTGTCTATTATGTGTCACCGCAGACAACCCAGAAATGTGGACCGGTGTTGTGGCAAAAATTGATGGGCTGCCAAATGGCGGCCGCAGGAGCATGTACGAGAGGACTTTAACAAGAATTTAACAAGATTAACACTTAAAAACAATTATTGTTTGCTCAACATTGTAGCAAAGGTGTGTCTCAGTTGAACTTTTCCTTAATAAATGCACTTTAATGGTCAAATCAGCTGCATTTCACCTGCAGCAAAATTAGAGATGCACCGATCCGATACAGATATCGCGACAATGTGACCGATCCATGACTGAGCAGATCTTTTCACTAATTCTATACTTTGTGACGTCACATGCTAGCCTACTGGCTGAACAAATTAAAGTTGTGTTGTTTTTACACGTTTGACAAAGCTTGTGAAGCTCTTGGTGTGTTTAAGTGTGCTCAGAGTTTTCAATAAATTTGTAATTCAGTAAATTAATGTCTGCGTTTAACAAAACAAATGTTTGAAGTTAATTCAGCACTGGGTTTGTAAGATCTATCATCCAGGTAGACAACAAAAATGGCTAAATCATGTCATGTGGACCTGTAGGTCCACATGACATGATTTAGCCATTTTTGTTAATTCAGCACTGCTTTTCTGTATCGGATCGGTATCGGTCGGCATCAAGCAGCAGATATCAGTATCGGATTGGAAGTGAAAAAAAAAAAAAAAAAAAAAAAAAAAGGCAGCAGATCGGTGCATCCCTAAGCGAAATGCAGCTGATTTGACGTTTGCTCCAGGAGTTCCGGAGCAAGACGAAAGTAGCTTAGTATGGCAAGCCAAGTGTCTCATTAATAGACACTTTTACCTATTAATGAGACACTTGGCTTGCCATATTAGTCGAGGGCCCTCTAGTGGCTGAAAATGGTAGTGTTCAATATTTTATATGCCAGAATAAATTAAATAGTCAGATCACAGCCAAAAATTAATTATAAATATTGGGGAAAAAACAAATACGTCGCTTCGCTGTATAAGTCGCAGGCATGCTAATTTATGAAGAAAAAAAGTGACTTATACAGTGAAAATACAGTATTTTTGGTCACTATTAGAGAGACAAAGAAAAGTCAGAGTTCAATAATACTGTTTCTATAAACAAACACCAGGGAACTCCCCTTTTTAAAGAGTTTCCTTATTATGTCACTTCCTGTAAAAAACAAAAACAAAAAAACAAACAATCAACATTTATTTATAGAGCTCTTTACAGCAGCCATAAAAAGGTGCACGGAGCACTTCACAGCACAAAAGTTAAAAACTATCAATAAAACCTACGTAGAAAGACAAAACTGCCAGAGTGCCACTAGGTATTAAAAGCCTGCCTGAATAAAAAGCTTTTAAATTAGATTTAAAAAGGCCCAGATCAGTGATGGAGAGCACGTCATGAGGTAGTTGGCTTCAGAGTCTGGGTGCGGCGACCAAGAAGACCCGGCCACCCCAACGTTTGTATTTGGACTTTGGGACAAACAGTAAAAATGTATTAGTTGATCCTAAGGTCCTCTCAAGCTCAAGGAAACCTACTAAACCAGCTAAATAAGGTGTGGCAAGACAGTTGAGCTTTAAAAGTGGACAATTAACGTTTAAAATCAATTCTAAAAACAGACAGGAAAGCAAACGGAGAGACGATAACACAGAGATGTGCTCATGTCTGGGAGTGTTGGTTAGGAGTCGGGCCGCAGTGTTTTGGACCAGCTGAAGGCATCTGGTGGAGGACTGGGAGATTCCTACTTACAAACCATTACAAACTGATAAAAGCATGAATGGTTTTTTTCCAGGTCAAGACGATTTGAAAAATGCTTGATCTTGGCTAAAAGACGTACTTAAAAAAAAGCTGGCCATGAATACCGCGGATATACGTTTATCAAACGTCAAGTCCTTCTCGAAGGTCACCCTCGAGCTTTTAGCTTGAACTTGGGATGTCAGAGCACCCAATATACAAGCATCATCATCATCATCATCACTTTGGCTGTGCCAGGTTCCAAAGAAAACATAATAGCTATGAGACAAAATTGTAAATTCATGTGTATTTTGCCAAATTTCTTAAATATCAAGACGTTTTCTTCCACTTTTTGTATTTGTAGGAAATGCATATCACAGGCATGTTAATACAATACCTCAGGCTTGTTCTCAAAATAAATAAATAAATAAATAAAACAACTTTTCCTTTTTTTACTTGTTCACTTTTCTTACCTCCTTTTTACTGGCAGCTTGCTTCGTAGTGGAGCGAACTGGAGCACAGCTGTTCAGATTTCTCTCTCCAAACACAGGTCGTGGGACTTTACGTAGTCCCGTCAGTTCCTAAAGTAAACAAACAAAAACAAACATGTTAGAAAACCAGGAAGAACATCATGAAGAGATGCCATTGAGGAAGTCCAGTCCCTCTGAGCAGTGACTATAGAGCAGGGCTGTTCAACTGAACTGCTCACGGGCCACAGTTTCTGAAAGCAGCAGCTCAGGGGCATCCAGCAATTAAAGTCACTCTGTAAATAAACTAAGTATTACAATATCCTGATGCATGCTCAATAATTCCTCAGTCTGAGGCTGAGACTGAAGAAGTCTTTCGGATGAAAGACGAAACGTATCTAGATTTTTTTTGCTTTGTTTTGTTTTTTTGAATGTCCAGAACTTTTTTTAGATTTTTCTACCTGGATTATTGAGCATGCATCAGGGTAAGTATTACAATGATCTGTCACTTTTTAAATTTGTTTATTTTATTGCACTGAATCATAAATGCAATAAACAGACCCAACTGGTGGGCCAGATTGAAGTCACCGCCAGTTGAATAGCCCTGCTATAGAGGATCTGTGAAAATGGCTGACACAACCAGATCAGTGAGACACCTTTGTGAGTTTTGTGTGAGAGCCGAGTGTGGGGACGGGGCGTGCTCGTTTAACCAGAGTTTTCCCAGAGGCCGATGAGGACGTGGAGGAAGAGGAGGAGGAAGCAGGCAGTGATTGTTGTGGAGGCAGTGAAGTTGAGGCCGTGCTGGTGGTTTTAGGTGGTGCTTTGCTCCGGGGTGCAGCTTCTTGTTTCCCCGTAGTCCCTCCACCTTTCTGCGACGACCTCGGCCTCACCACCTTCAGCAGCTCGATCTGGGTGTCAGCCGTGCCCTGAGCCAGGCCGAAGTCCACCAGAGCATACCTGCATAAACAGACACGGCGTCAGCATGGATGTATAAACGTTGACGCTTTCTGGGAGACTTCTGAACATTTCAAACTGTAAACTGATAAAAAGGACTGAAAGAGAGAAAAATGTTACGTTACACAAGACTCTCAGCTGCTACAGCATCGGATCTTAGCTCAAAATCTGAACAATTAAATGAGTTAAAGCCTGAATTGTCCTTTTTTAAATCAATGGGCTGTGGCAGCCATCTTGAATTGGGGTTGACTATAAATTAATCAAATGTTTAAAGATTAATTTCTGAAAGTCTTAATAAGACCAGTGTCCAGTGGTTCCTCCGATATTGTGCTAACAGACAAACAAGGCTGACATTTATATGCTCAACATGTAAATCTGAATTTTGTTTCTTTTTTTGGTTGTTTTGAAACATGGATGATTAATGTCAAGTGATTAAAGCCACTTTACTGACGCCATTACAAACACTGTTATCTGTGTTCCCTACTTAAATAAGTTGGTAACCCCAGAGCTTTACCAAAAAGCAGACGTGCTATTAGTTTATTTTTTTTATACAAAGCTAACGTAAGAAACAACAAAGTCCATGCTCAATAATCCAAGTATACAATCCAACATTTTTCAGTAAAGTACTAACTAAAGTAAGAAATATCCAGTAACTTTCAGAAACGCTGGTTTTCTATTTTTATTTTGAAAACTCATGTACTTGAACTCATCTGTCTTCAGTACCTCCAGTCCTGTCTGCTGTTCCACCCGTCTCCCTCTCAATCACTCAGATTCTCACTTCTATCCTCTTTTCTTCACAGCAAACTTTCAGAATCTCCTCCACCTGATTCCTACTCTCACTACAAAGTAGGTGTAGTAAATGAAACTTATTTAACATGCACGACGTGATGATTCTTGTACCAAGCAAATCATCAGGATTTTACCAGAAAATGTTAAAATGTCAGAAAGATAAAAGAAAAATTAGGCTTAATGGTTATAATCACGGAGAACTTAAGAAAGGTGAAAATACAAACTTTTTACTCTTCCTGTTGTAGAGGAAGTTGTTTGGCTTGATGTCCCGATGAATGATACCAAACTGGTGGATGTGTTTCAGGGCCTTTAGCAGGTGGTAGATGTACAGGCGGACCTCCTCAAAGCTTAGTGACCCAATAACGTCCTGAAAAACATGTTGTGATTAATAAAATGTTGAAAAATGCAACAATAAGTCAAGTTCATATCTGTAAAATGATAAAACAAAAAACAGACGTGCAACGACGTCCGTACCACAATAGCTTGGTGTTCCATGTAGGGCATAACAATCAGCACACGGTCCTCCTTCCTGAAGCAGAACGTCACCCCCATCACGTTCTCCCTGCCCCTGCAGGAACATTAAGAGCACAGCTGTTACAGCGTTGTTGGTACAGATCCATAAGATTCACGTCCTAAAACCTCTACAGAAAGATCTATACGTTGAGACGTGACGAGACAAAACAAGACGCCACACGATAAGAACGAGATGAGATCTTAAGACTTTTAAGAAACAAGTTTTTGCCACAAACTCGACTCCCTGGCGTCCCTCCTATTTAGGGCTGTGAAATTCCAGGAATTTTCAAAGTTGGGATCTTTCCATGGGAATACACAGGAGTTTATGGAAATAAATTAAAATATGGAAAACAGGCTGTACTTATATAGCATCGTTCTATCTTATCAAGACACTCAAAGCTCTTTACACTACAACCTGTGCCTCATTTACACATTCATACAGCACTCTACTAGATCTATACAAAGACCAATCAGAGCTTTATCACATTCATACACTGATGGGACACTCTGAGGCAATGAGGGGTTCAATGTCTTGCTCAGGGACACTTCAACACGTGACTGTTGGTGGAATCAAACCTCCAGCTCTCCCATTAGAGGGCAACCTCTCTAACCACTCAGCCACAGCCGCCCCATAAATCATGGACTTTAATAAGAATATTATTAGAACCCCCGACAAATACTATGCAGTCACTACTCTTATGTTCTTTCTTTTATTCCCCATTAAAAAACAAAAACTCATCTTTTTTATTATTATTCCAACATTAACAAAAAAAGAGAAAAAAAATGTACTTGTTGTAGTCGGTAACACTATGGCTTTATTGTTGTATTTTCAGCTCCTGAGCTGTCAGTTTGTTCAAAGATGTATAAACAAAGAAGCAGATGGCCGCTTGTCCTGTTCTGATAATGGTTTCATCCTCATGAGGGAGTTTTTCCTTTCCACTGTCACCTTCATGCTTGCTCAAGATGAGTCTGTGATGGAGTTAAACTCAAAAAAAGTCTGCTCCTCAGATAAATAATGTTAAATTGTTATTTTTATATATGAATGTTTCTGTTCAGTGCCCTGAGATGACTTCTGTTGTGACTTGGCATTATATTAATAAACTGAATTGAATATAATAAAATATTGGTGCAAAATGTCTATAAATTTCATAAAGTACATAACTCCATTTAGCCTCCTTTACTTCAGGTCAGTTGTGAGAGGTTGTAAGCAGCCAATCAGCGTTAAGAAGAAAGAAAAAGGATTTGTGGCAAAGTGCTTCGATCTTTAAAATATTTTGGTTGGGTTTTACTAAAGCTAAATAAATGCTCTGCGTTTGTTCTTTATCTTGGGAACTTATTAAGCACAAAAAATGTTAGCCAATAGAAAAGTTTAAATTCAATCGTTGTAGTAACTCCCCTTTATCAAGGGTGCTCAGTAGTTTTCAATTGTTGATACATTTCAAACAAAGAAAAAGATAAAACAAAAGATGAATGTAAAACAACCTAAATGACAATTTCTTGACATTTTGATGCGTGTCCTTTTTAGCAAAAATTTCAAACTTATGCTAAAATGAAGTATAATGCAGCAGTAATAATGACAGTGATGTAAAAATTTAAATGAATCTTTTGCATGAACACTGAAAAACTGGAGTAATTTTAAAGTAGCACAATCTGATTTGGAAACAATTCTGCTCGTTGACCGCTCCACAAATCAACCATTTTACCTTCTTAAATGAACTTCAGTCTTCAAACTTTCATAGCAATTCATACGAACGCTAACAGATAAACCTTTACATCTCAGTCCGTTTTGTGTTATTTTAATATTGCGGGGTACTTCAGCAGGAATACTATGATATTCCATAGAATGCTATGTAAAAGTGCATTCGCATAAGCAGTTATAAAATTTAGGAGTTGTGTTTTTTAGGACTACAACTATCCACGTTGGTGTTTGCTGTGTTTGGGCTAGCTGCTCATCAGTCGTGTTGGAATAAACGCGATTTATCCAAAGTGAGTTAGTCCAAAAAGCTATTTGCAACAGGTAAGACGTTAATTGCTCATAATCTTGACACAGAACAACACTTCAAATCAACGCACATATCCCTTCAGTGTGACAGAGCACATTTCAGTGAAACATGCTGGACTCACCCCGCAACAGTCAGACACTGAAGTTCTGCAGCAATGCGTGTGGGGTGGCTGGTTGGGATGAGGTACTTCAACGCAAACATCTCTCTTCTCCCATCCTGCATCTGTGCTTCACCCAGGTACACCGAGCTGAATGTTCCTAACGCACGCAGACACATTGTGCAGTCTTCACTTTTGCATTCGCAGTCAAATTAATTATGGTGAACGAATATCTCTTACAAATACAACCCTAAATCATTCACAGCGAATCAAACACAAACGAAAGCTGACCGTGTACCTTCTCCTATTTTGTCTATGATGCGGAAAACTTTGGCCAGCTGAGGAACAGCTTTGTACAAGAGCTCGATTTCCAACTCCACATCCCCTGAAAAGAGAAGTGCCATTAAACACGCAACCACTTTACAGTAAACACCTGAGTAAAAATATTCAACTTAAATAAAAAAAACAGGTATTTTCTTAATTTCACATTTACTGCGTTTTAATAAAACTGTCATTAAGAATATAATGAGGTATTGATGAGATCAGTTCATGTGGTTGATCGTCTTAAAAACATGTTTTACTTGAGACTTTTCTTTTCCTGTGAGATGTGTCAGACTTTATGCATCCTTCAGTGTTCACATCCTCAGTGGAGACAGGAGAAAACTCCATCTGAAAACTAAACATTCAGGAAACAAATTACCAGAAACATCCATGTTTGACACACATTTACTGTAATTGGATTACTTTTCGCCCAACAGATCTAAATAAAACGAAGTTGAACTTCACATTTAAATCGTATTTGCTAAACAAACTTTCAGGTTAATGTTGCATCAGTAATGCTAAGCTGCTACGAACAGAAACAAACTCACCTCTGGTTGGCTGTAAAGAGCAGCAGCTCAGCCGAGGAACATTTCATAAACTCATCTTACAGCCGTCTTTACCGATTTAAAGCGAACTGAACGGGTTTTAATGTAGTTTCGGTAGTTTAATAAACGTCGTTAAAACTTTATTTGATCGTTTTCCGCCAACAAACTACGCGCGAAAAGTGACGTCGAGGACATCTCGCGTTGAGTAAGCGTTGACCACGTGACTGACATCATCCAATCACGAAGCGTCTGTGACTCACGCAGATTAGATGTTTTTTTCTCGCATAAAATTTAACTTGTTTGTTGCTCAGTTGTGTTCAATACGTGAATATAAACCTGAGAAAAATATGGAGATAATTACACATTGAGCCTAAACTTGGTTTTACCTGTCAAAAATTATCTCAAGAACTCCTAACTGGACAAAAATACACAGAGATTATCGTCTTAAAACTCCTGGGTTAATTACTCTGACTATGTCCCAGCAACATTTCTGTATTTACATAAATCCCAAAATATTTTGCAACTTACAATTGCTTTAGAAGCACATTTTCTTTGATATTCATAAAGTAGAATTAATCTGCAGGAAATTATTATCAGTTTTATTTACTTGACACTAAGTTTACATCAACAAATGAAAAATTATATATATTTTTACGTTGTAGGTTAAACTCGACAAGTATTTTGTTTAAGTTTCTAGCAGTCAAAAGGTCAATAAACTATAAAAAATATATTATTATTATTGTGTTATCCCGACAAATTTTTACCTGTTCATGTGGTACTTCATGTTCATTGGTTACATTCTTCAACTTGACTAATTTATAGCAACTTCTGTTGTATTATTTATCCATCCATTCAATTTTTTACCCACTTCTCCTTTCCAGGTTGTGAGCAGCTGGTTCCTACCTCCAGCAGTCACTGTGAGAGGCGGGGGACAGGACGCAAGACTGTCACAGGGACCCATATAGAGACAAATGGGACAAACAACCATTCACTCTCTCACTCACACCTAGGAACAATTTAGAGTTACCAATCAGCCTAACATGCATGTTATTGGTCTGTGGCAACCAGAGTACCCAGAAAACCCACACATTCATGGAGAGAACATGCAAACTCCACCCAGAAAGGCTCCAGGCGTGAAGGCAACTCTGCAACCTTCTTCCTGAGAGGTGACAGCTCTAAGCAATACTCTGATGTTCCACCACATTGTACTATTTATTATTTCTAATAAAGTTTAACACAAACTTGATCTAGTATTAGGGTGGTATCTGTACTTTCCAGTCTACTTGATGCAATTATCTTTTGTTCATCTAAGACAAAATGTCAAACAAACAAATGCACACAGCCTTAGATAAACAGACAGATGTGCCACACCTCTGACAGCTACTGTATGGATGGATTTATACAGGATTCATTCATACATCAAAAATAACTATTACAGATAGAATCAATGAGCAAATGCTTTATTTGATAAATAGGTACTAACATAAAACACGTCAGTAACAATTTAACCAACATACCTGTGTAGTTTACAATATGAACAAAGAGTAACATGAATTCAAAACCTAACCTGCAAGTCTGAGAGGTTTTTAACAATAAAAGTCAAAGCAGAAAGACAGGAGTTTAAAGACTACCATATCAGAGGGACAACAGCAATGTTTCTAAAATATGCCATCAAATATGCCAACGAAAGCTTCCTCCTCTTTGCTGTTTGTAAAAAAAGAGGAAAAGTTTATAATTAATAACATTTAAAAAACTACTTTGGTAAAACTGTGAAGCACAATAAAACGTTAATTATTAGAATAATACAGAATAATAATAAATGTTTTAATAATTATTTGAATATATTAGAATATAAGAAGATAACTGGAATCAACTAGTTTGCTTTACCTTGTGTTGAGAGATGAGTTGACGCCGGACGAGACGGTTGTGTGGAAGAAATCCAACCTCCTGTCGACTTGTGCCCCCAGGGGCTGTTGTGAGAACATCTGGGGGGTTTTCAACGTGAGCCCATCACTGAAAATGGTGCATTTCTGAAGAAAGAGGAAGAGAAGCATGCATCTAATGTGGCAGATAGCTCGGGTCACAAAAACACAAGAATTTAACTCTTTTAAAGATTGAGCTTTGTACAAACACCTTCAGTTATTCTCACCATGCAAGTCATTTCCCTATTATTAAAACACACACACACACATTGTTGGTCTTAAAGGCTCGGTTTTAGCATGGTTCAAATCTTATTTAGCGCACAGGTCCTTTTCCGTTTCCATGGGGGAATATTTTTCTTCCTCGGCTCCTTTTCATTGTGGCGTACCTCAAGGGTCCATTTTAGGTCATATTTTGTTTTGCTTATACATGCTGCCTTTGGGATTAATATTTAGAAAGCATTACATTCATTTCCACTACTACGCTGACAACATCCAAATATTTTTTCCTTTTAAATCAGTTGTCTCTGCCCCAATGCAGACTCTGTCTAAAATATATCAAAGACTGGTTAAATCAGAACTGTCTGACCCTGAATGAAAAAAAAAAAAGACAGAAGTTGTTGTATTTGAAAACCAGATTTCTGTCTTTGGGTATGCTGACATTCTGGGTCCTCTTGTTCTTCATTGTTCCTCTGTGGTCAAGAATCTTGGAGTGTTTTTAGACAGTTCTTATAAACTTGGTAAGCAAATATCCTCAGTTGTCCAAACCAGTTTTTATCAGTTACATCAAAAAGCCAAAGCAAAATCTTACATTCCTCTTAAAGACTTCAAAACTGTCATCCACACTTTCATCACCACCAGACTGGACTACTGCAACTCTTTATATGTTGCTTTGGAACCATCATCTCTCCATCACCTGCAGTTAGTCCAGAATGCTGCTGCATATTTTAACAGGAACAAGAAGGCAGGACCACATCAGTCCTGTTTTATCTGACTTACACTGGATACCTGTTCCTTTTCATATTAATTTTAAGATTCTTTTACTGACTTTTAAAGTTTTAAATGGCTTGGCACCCAGTTTCTTAATGGATCTTTTGTATTTTTATAATTCAAACAGCTCACTGAGATCCTTCAGTCAGATGCTTTTGCACAGCCAAGGGTAAAATTAAAGTGCAGGGAGGGGGATTGGGCTTTAGCTGTGGCAGCCCCCAGACTCTGGAACAATGAGCCCATTGATATTTGTTCTGCAGAGTCCATACAGTCCTTTAAAACCCACCTAAAACTCACTTCTTTGCTCTGGTTTTTAACTCCAGTTTGGTTTGAGTTCCATCTGAACCTCGAGGTTATTTTCTTGTTTTAGTTTGTTCTTAGACTATTTTATTATACTTGAGTTTTAATGTTTGATCTTTCATTTAGTTTATTGTTGATTTCCTGTTTGGGAAGCAGTTTGGTCAACATTGCTGTTTTTAAATGTGCTATATAAATAAAGCTGACATTCACACACACACACACACACACACACCTTTTCATTCAAGTCGAGTGTGAGCCTCTTTGGTGTGAACGCGTGAGTATCTGAAGAGGATTCAAACTTCTTGATAACAGAACTTGCAGATGCTGAAATGGACCTAAAACAAACAACAACAAAAAACAAGAACATTTTTTTTAATGACAGATGCTGACTAAAAGGCCTGAAACTTCAGGTATTTTAATTCCTACAAAAAAATAAAAATCTGTTTTATATTACGTTAGAGACAATTTTAGGCAATTTGAAATGGATTTCTGTGTAAACATCAAGAACAAATAGTATCTTACCTGTTGCAGAAAGCTTTTAGAACTACCTCAGTTTGAAGAACTAGCCATTAAGTCAGACATGACTGGTCTAACAACAACCAAGGCCAAAGAGGATTCCTGCCCTTCTAAAGCAGCTCTCTACATCTATAATTTGAAAGCAGTTCAAGTCAACACGGTTTTATAACCCTTTCCATCAAGATCATATCAACCATTTGCTGTTACACCCTCTTTTCTCCTTCTGGCTTTCACACTTTTGGAGGAAGATGTTTGGTTCAGTGCTCATGCAACTGACATACATTAGAGCATGTAAAACAAAATAAACCAAATTTTGAAACAATCTGCTGTGGGACTGCAATAATCTGTAGGATCTTATGACCAGCTCATTGTTTCAGTGTGACTGCAGATTGTTGTGAAATGTGGTTCAGTTTGTTGCCTGAGATCTCCCATGAAGAAGAATAAGATAAGACTTGGCAAGTAAAAAACCTGACTATATGAATGTGAAAAGCTTTTACTGTCAGTGATCAGTTCTGATCTGTAAGCACACACTTTCCCACACATCAGATCAGAGCTTTGTGACAGATCAGAAGAGATTCATCTAAAAAAAGGCTAAAAACGCTCCTTTTTTTCATAGCAGGCGCATGCGGTTCTCTTTCGAAGGGCACTTGGTATCTCTTTATGGGAAGCACCTTCAGGTGTGACATCATGCTTGTTATGAAATATATATAATTTTTTTTTATAGCAAAACAGCAGAAATATGGAAGCATTTCAGTACATCCACTATGGTACAATCGGTGAAGTTATTCATGAAGATTAAAGCTGGTTGGTATTTTTCAAATATGTAGATAGAGCCAACTGCCAGCATGCTGCACCGGTCCAGATTGGCTTGAAACATGCTGATCTGTAATTGTAGTTATAATATTAAGTGTTATTTTATTTTAGGAAGCAAATAATCTAAATAAAGTACCCCAAGTGTCACCGTGTTAGCTACTGATAAATGATCAAACCAAAACAAACCGCTCCAGCTACACCCTGAAGGTCACAGCTCAAAACAAGTCAGTCTGTTAGTTTTCCATCAGTTAAATGAACAAACATGAAAACAATTTGGTGCACTGTTAAGTGTAACGTTCTTGGTGAAAGCTTCATTCTTTCTTCAGAAGATGTGAACAAACAAGAATCCCCTGATCAAAAAGTTTATAATCCTCCAAATGTGCACTTTTTATTTTCAGCAGGTTACTGTTGCATTATTTCTCTAAGAATGTTGAACAACTCAGAAATAATGATTTAGTAACAATAACTGAACTGTAGTTTTGGTAACTTTCTGAATACTGAAGCTGAGACCAGCACTTGAAGAACGCTTTGTAATTTCTGTCATCCAGAAGTGCTCTGGTTTAGGCCAACAATAAGGTCAATAAAGCTGCAGTAAAATTTAAATAACTGGAGTTGTTTTAAAGAGGCTGAATTGGGTTAGAAGTGGGTTTGCTGGGACAACCCATAGGACTTTAGCACAGCAGACATTTTGACTTAAAAAGCAGAAAAGGCACAGGTATAATAAAGTATCTCATTCAGAAAACCAGAAAAGAATAACCAGCATGCACTGCTGCAGAAGTTAAACACCGCCCTCATTAATACGCCTGTGCTGTTTCAACTCTTTCAAGTCAAGATGTCAGCCGTGAAAATGTCTTGTCTAAGCAGACCCACTTCTAAAACCAATTTATTGTCATAAAACAGCTCCAGTCTTCTAAACTTGCTTCCTACCAGAAGTGTCCCGAGCTCCACAGGACTCATTACAGCTTTCTGCAGTATTTGTGCTTGCAATGCCGCCCTCCACCCCCGCATAATTTTCATTTAAATATTAAATAGTGTTTGAACACTATTTAATTACTATTTAACATTTGTGGGAGTGGTGGTGCAGAGGTTAGAGAAGGTGAGCCTGTGATCAGAAGATTGCCGGCTCAACTCCCTGTTACCGACAACATCAAAATGTGGGTGGGAAAGGTGAAGTGCCCACACCTGCCTCCACCCTCATTTGCCCCTCTCTGGACCCTTGAGCAAGGCTCTTAACCACCACCATATGCCCTCCTGGACACCCTAGATAGCAGCTCTCTGCTCCACACAGAGGGCTGTGGTAGCTCCGTGGTCTGTGGTTGTGTCAAGAGGGGCATCCGGCATAAAAATAATTGCCAAGTCCTCGTGTGAGTTAGTTCACTGTGGCAACCCCAGAAGAAGGGAGCAGCCAAAAGAAAAATAAATGAAAAAAAAAGAAGAAGAAAAATTAAATAGTCTTTGAAAAAACAGATGAATATTTGACACGAGAGCTGTTTTACAACAGTAGTTTTGGTCTTGGCTGTATTTGGAGTAGCTGTTAGCTCATCAGTCTGGTCAGATTTAATCTCCAAACTGAGGCCATTCAAAGAGCTATTTATTCCAGGTAAGATAATAATAATCACTTTTATACAGAGCACCACTTCAAAATGTTCAAACTATCCATATACTGGTAGTTTCTGCTAGTTTCCTGGCCTCACCTCAGTGGTGTAGTTACAGCGGTTCTAGGGAGACTGGCTTGTGGACAGCTGACTGCAGATGTAGTGGCATACCCTGCTCAAAAACAAGATATTCATTCAACCATTATTTATACAGGTTAGTCTCACTGAGTCACAAAGACTCATTTACAAGAGAGACCTGATTTTAACAAAGCACACAGATGAGGTACACACAACAGTAAACATTCATTCATATAAAATGAAAAGTAAATAAAAGAAGTGAATAAAAGAAGTGATCACTTATATGCTTGTCATGAGCATGAGAATGATTCAAGAAAAATCAAAATGTATGACTTATGTTGTTAGCATCCAAAGACAATTAAAACAATGTAAAAGCTGAAAGCAACTAAACTGAATGAGTCTTTTGTTTTGTTTAAAAAAAGTTATCTCTACCTGGCAGGTACTCGTCATCCTGATGCTCAGGGTTAGCTTTACATGGAGGTACAGCTGTTTCACTGGCACAGAGCAAGTTCTCGTCATCAAAGTCATCCCAGTCGTCCCATTCACTTCCCAGATCAAAGGTGACAGCTGGTGTTGGTGCATATGGGACATTTTTGCCTAAAGCTTCTTGTTTTGACGATGCTGTAGCCCAGTTTGAGTAAACTGATTGTCTTGTGTTATCCTGGTTTAAATGCTGTCGAGACCTCAGACTTCCACCATTTGTTTCTGGGATTCTCCAAGCTGACGAATCTGTACATAGAATAATTTAGATAAATAATTTAAGAACACAGTTATTGTAAATATAGCTACTAAATGAGATTTACAGGAAAATATTGTATATTATTGTTTGTGTAAAGTTTGTTTTCTTTAGTATCAAAAACTTTAAATCTCAAAACTTTAGCTAAGCTGAAGTAGTGTTCTGTAAAACATTATGAATGGTAATATTTTACTCTCCTAAAAAAGGAATGTAAGAAATTTCTCAGGTTCTTTTGGACATACTGTATAATAGGTACATTAGGTAAGAATCAATTCTAACTTGTGTCTTAGGGCACTTTGTCACTTGCAGCCTGACTTAAAAACACAAACTCACTTTAAATTGCATTAAAATAAAAAAGCCAAGATAAGTAAATGTCTGGCAGAAGTCAAAGAGTATGTGGCACTACAGAGGTTGTTTTATAATGCTACTGCTGGAGAATAATGGCACCTTATTTACGCAGCTCGTTTACCTCGCTCAAGATCATCCAGACCAGCTACGTCAGAGAGATGAGCACAGTCTTCAGCTGTCAGGTCAACATAGCCAGTTATATACTCGTTCTTCCCACACCTTCAGGTCAAACAACCACAACAAGAACAGCAAATATCAAAGTTTGCTCAAAGTCCATTGATTTACAATTATACTACCAAACTCTATGAGATACAAGTTACCAGCAAATGTTAAGGAAAATGTTGCAGTGAATGTTTAAGAAGTTAGATTTTCAAAGTAAGTACCAGGAGCCAGGACAAAGCCTTTCTTTAGGTTTGTAAGCAAACTTCTGCATGTCGACAGCCAAAGACTCCTCGTTCATTTTCATCTGAGGAATTAAAACAGAGCGTGAAACACTCATTTCGAGCTGGAACACAAAAAGACTGATTATTTCTGAAGCTAATACATTTTTTTGTTACTGAAGCATTTTTGATAATTACATGTTGTAAAGCAGAATTCAAAAAGATAATGATTATAATTATACAGAATATATGCTAGTACTTGTTAAGAGCTCTGCGTGGTCTGCTTAATTTCTACATTTTCTATAAAACAAAAACTTGTGATGTGTTTCAGTTTCTAATCTCCAAATAACAACTGTACAGGACCTCTGAAGGTCTTTAGAAAACATTAGACTTTGGCTGCTTATTTAGTATTTACTTTGTGTCTTTTCACAAACATTGTTTTTGATGATCTTTTGTTAGGCCAGCTGACTGCCTTACAGTGAATGATTCAGACGTTATGATGACATGAGTCCCCAACCACTGGTCCAAGGACCGCTACCTGTCCATGGATCATTTGGTACTAGGCTGCAATAACTTTTCTTCAAAAATGGATAAATTTTTTATATACAGTTGTCTGCAGGGTGCACGGTGGCACAACTGGTAGAGCTGCTGCTTCTCAGCGAGCAAGTTACCCTGGTTCAAATCCCAGTCCAGGGGCCTTTCTGGGTGGAGTTTGCATATTCTCTCCGTGCATGCGTGGGCTTTCTCCGGGTACTCCGGTTTCCTCCCACAGACCAAAAACATTCAAGTTAGGGTGATTGGTAACTCTAAATTGTCCCTAGGTGTGAGTGACAGAGAGAATGGTTGTTTCTCTGATTTGTCTCTGTGTGGCCCTTTGATGGACTGGAGACCTGTCCAGGGTGCCCCCGCCTCTCGCACAGTGATGGCTGGACATGGATACCTGTGACCCCTGTGACCCCTGCAACCCGAAAAGGAAGAAGTGGGTTAAAGTTAATGGATGGATAAATGTCTGCAAGGCATTTTATTCTGGAGTGAGCAAACTGATATTTGCTGTGACAATGCTGAGCTTGCCTCAGTAACCTGCACTGTGTGAATGCTGAGTCAGCGTTCTTTTGATTGGGGCGGCTGTGGTTGAGTGGTTAGAACAGGCACCTTCCAATGCAAAAGTTGGGGGGTTCAGTTCCACCAGCAGTCACATGCTGAAGTGTCCCTTGGCAAGACACTGAACCCCTCATTGCCTCCGATGTGTGTCCCATCAGTGTATGAATGTGATAAAGCACTGATTATTCTTTGTATAGATCTAGTAGAGTGCTGTATGAATGGGTAAATGAGGGCACAGATCGTGTTGTAAAGCGCTTTGTGTATCTTGACAAGATAGAAAGGTGCTGTACAAGTACAGTCCATTTACCATTAGATTTTCTGTTTATAGTTTATTTTATCTTTGGAGTTTTCTGCCCTTTTTATGCTTAACAGTTTAACAATTTAACAATTTACTTGTAAATTTGACAAGGGCAAAACGGTGGCGCAGTTGGTTGAGCTGCTGCCTCTCAGCAAAATCCTATGAGTTTGGGCCAGGCTGGGATTTTTAGGCCCAAATGCAACTCTACTTTATGTGTCCTTGTGATGGACTGGAGGTCCAGGGTGTCCCCCGCCTCTCACACAGTGATGGCTGGATATGGGCACCAGTGACCCCCGTGACCCGAAAAGAAAGAAGCGGGTCAAGATAATGGATGACCTCCAGATGGATGGATGAATTTAACAACTTACAGGTCAGCGTTAGGTGGTTAACAAAACTTTTTAATAACAAATGTACAAGTACTGGACTGTAAATGAGTATGCCGCTGTTTCAAAAATGTTTAAAAAATGTAAAACAACTTAAAATTTAACTTGGCCAGACCTTCAGAATTCCTAAACAACTTATCGTCAAAACCATTTCAAATAAATATCTGGCAGAAATTAAAATTTCAGCACAGGGCTGCACAAATATTAGTAAATAACCCAATCCGAGTTAGGACAGAAAACAGAACTGGTCTGATTTTCTTGTTTACCTTGAGTCGTTTGACAGGAGTCTGGACAAGCGCATCATTTCTGTTCTTCAGGTCTTTCAGGTAGGAAGAGAAACTGGTTTCATGGTTCACTGATCTCTTCTGACCCACTGCAACACCTACTTTACCTTGAGAGCAGATGAGAATGGATGTAGGCACAAAACTCGACTGAAAGGTACATAATGAAAATCAATTTACAAAATAAAATCCTGGGACAAAATGTTGTGTTTTACTCACAGCAATCATGGGCGCAAACACTTTTATTCTTGCAGAAATGGTTGCATTGCCTTTTACTGCCTGAATCTGAGAACAAAAAGAAACAAAAGTCTAAAATCTGCCTAAAGAAATACAAACCAGAGAAACATGTTCTGTGAAAATGTAGTAAGAGCGCTGAGTGCTGAATAACTTCTGAAGTTTTCTGATGAAGGTGAAATGGATATGTTAAAGCTAAGGGAAGCAGAAGGCTAGCTAGAAGCTAAAAATAGCAAAAGCCTTACTAAAAGCTAAAAACGGCAAAATTTTAGCCAGAAGCTAAAAGTAGCAAAAGATTAGCTAGAAGATAAAAGTAACAAGAGACTTACTAGAAGTAGCAAAGTTAAGTAAAAAAAAAAAAAAAGCAAAAGTCTAGCTAAAATATCAAACTGCTACGTAGAAGCTAAAAATATAAGAATGTTAGCCAGAAGCTACAAGTAGCAAAAGATTAGTGAGAAGATAAAAGTAACAAGCGACTTGCTCCAAGTAGCAAAGTTAAGTTAAAAAAGCAAAAGTCTAGCTAAAAATATCAAAACGCTACCTAGAAGCTAAAAGTATCAAACTGCTAAATAGAAGCTAAAAATATCAGAAGGTTAACTAGAAGCTAAAAGTAGTAAAAGTTTTACTAAAAGTTAAAAATAGCAAAATTGTAGCCAAATGCTCAAAGTAGCAAAATATTAGGTAGAACATAAGTAACAAGAGACTTAATAAAAGTAGTAAAGTTAAGTTAAAGAAATAGCAAAAGTCTAGCTAAAAATATCAAAATGCTACCTAGAAGCTAAAAGTAGCAAAAAGCTTGCTAAAAGTAGCAAACTCCTTCATAGAAGCTAAAATATCAGAAGATTAGCTAGAAGTTAAAAGTAGCAAAAGGCTACTAAGCTAAAAGTAGCAAATAAAGGTAAAAAGATCAAAACAATAGCTAAAAGTAAAATAAAAAGACAAAAATACAGCCAGTAGTTGAAGCAAATTTCAATAAGAGCAATCTTTTTAAAGAAAATTATGACAACTTTGTGTATTTCTATAGAGAAAATATTTGTAAACAAAGTTGAATATTTAAATAAAAAGTTACAAAAACCAACAGTCATAACCATAGGCGTCGCAACCATTATATGTGAAGGGGACAAGTCCCCCCACATTAAAAAAACGTTCATTTGGACCCCCCCACTTTTACTATAAAACATTAGTTCAGGTGGCGCATTTCTCTTTCTTCATGAACAAATCCATTCCACTTGATTAATAGGAGAATACTCAAGCTACTAAAACTCCACTCCAGGTTTTCCTGGTTACCTCCAACTCTCCACCGTCTCTTCCTGCCTCTTGCCTCGGCAGAAAACGCGCACAGGTGGAGGAGGTGGAGGTACCTGTGTTACTCGCTCGCCAGTTTAGCAGCTTAGTGTGGGCAGTAGTTGACCAAGGGGTTGATCATAAACATATATTCATGTTAGGAGGATGTTTGAGAGGAGCGCTACGTCTGTAGCATGTGAGCTGTAACTGTGACGCTGTCAGACGCTGCAGGTGTAAGAGACGCTGTGTGTTCAGGTGCATTAAAGTTGAAATGTCTTTAAAACCCCACACCTTATTGTCCTCAAGTTTCATGAGAAACATAATTTAGATGAGTAGTGTTGAACACAAGTAAAGAAAGTCCAGTGGTGATGTTTTTTATTTCTCTATAAAGACAAATAGTGCCGATCTGACGCTCTGTATTAAAGTGTATTAAAGTTAAAATGTCTTTAAAATCCACAGATGAATTTACACAAACTTGGTGAGAAACATGTATTAAATGTGTGGAATTAAAGGAAATCTAAGTGAAATGCTGCTTTTTTGTTCACTAGTGAATACCTTTTTTTACATGTGCACACACGCGCATGCGCGCACACACACCTACACACATCATTGTGTCCCCCCACATTACAGATGCTTCTGACGCCCTTGGTCATAACACTCATCTCCTCAATGTGCTGAAATGTAAAAGGCTAAAATATCTCAGTGTGCAGATGTAGTGTGCAGTATTTTTTAATTGAATATAGTTAAGAGTTCAAAAATGTATGAAAAATTAAAAACAGGAAAGCAGGAGTATGAATGTTGAATTGGCATTCACACAATTTCATGTTGAGATTATAAAATTGCAATTTCATGTTGAGATTATAAAACTGCAGTAGTAAAGTAGTTAAGTAATTGATACTGCCTTGTGCGTTCACAGTATAGATGTTTTCCTTCTGATTTGCAGATGGTGGCTTTACAGCGGAGTGCTGCAGTCTCTGTTCAGTATGAGTATCTGTCAAGCTGCATGGAGTTTCACTTCCAAACGTCTTGGCTGCTGAGAAGTACACACTGAACTTCTGCTGGATGTCCAGTCCCACTACACAGAACAAAATACAAACAAAAAATAATAAAAAGTTTAACAATGATAAAGTCTGTTTTCCAAATGTTGACTTTTAATACAGCAAAACTAAGAATAATGATGTTAAATGATATGATTTGTTGGCATTTATTGGTAAACGTAATATAAAAAAACTTTTTTTCCCAAGTTATGTAAAAATAACAATTATTAGGCTTAAATTGAAAACTGGTGTAGGAAAGTTGTCATAACTCAATGATGGTGCTGTAACACAACAAATGAGGCACTTGTGATTTTTATTATTAACCTTTATTTAACCAGGCAAATCCCATTGAAATCACAGATCTCTTTTGCAAGGGAGGCCTAGACCTGAAGGCAGCCTAACATGCAGGTTTTTGGTCTGTGGGAAGAAACCGGAGTACCCGGAGAAAACCCACGCAAGCACAAGAAGAACATGCAAACTCCACACAGAAAGACCCCAGGTCCAACTGAGGATTGAACCCAGGACATTTTTGCTGTGAGGCAACAGTGCTAACCACTGAGCCATCATGCTCAAGTGATTTTCTCGTTATCTAAATAAAGGCCTAGCTTTCCTTTAAAGAATGCATATCACCCACTGCCTTTCATCCCAGAGTTTTAGACTGAAGCCATCTTAAAATGGGAAATGATGGAGCCTGCTTTGTTAAACCTTACATTTAATATTATGCATCTCATAATAAGCTCAGTCCTCACCTCCTTCTACAGGTGTGCAGTGGGGAGCATCCTGTGCTCCAGCATCAACGAGTGACATGGAGGCTGCACAGCTGCAGAAAGAAAAGCTTTGCAGAGAGTGGTGAAGGCTGCACAGAAGACTGTTGGAGTCAGTCTCCCCACCATCACAGACATCTACACCTCCAGATGCAGGAAGAGAGCCACCAGCATCATGAAGGACCCCACTCACCCAGCACACACTTTTTGCTCCGCTCCCCTCAGGAAGGAGGTTGAGGAGCATTAAGTGTAGAACCACTAGACTGAGGAACAGCTTATACCCTGAGGCTGTTAGACTCATGAATCTCTAACCAGAATCAGCACTATGAAAAATCACATCATGTTGCTGCTGATCTGTTTCATGTTGATGTGTTCATGCGTGCTCATCTGCTCACACAGACTCATGTTTGTGCTGCTGTTCGGCGTATTGTGTTTATTGTTTTTATGCTACTAGTGCTTAGTGTATTTTTAGCTGATGTTTTTTTTAGTTCATACCTTAAATCTTATTACTGTTTTTCTTTTACATTTTATTGTTGGATGTAACTGGGACCCTTTGTACATAATTTCGTTTCACGACATGTACCACATGTGGTGCGAATGACAATAAAGGATATCTATCTCTCTATCTCTATAGTTGAATCAAACTGAATGCAGTTCAGCAAAAAAATCTAGAAACGTTTCGTCTCTCATCCGAGAGACTTCCTCAGTCTGAGGTGCTGTTTTCAGCTCATTCTCTTAAATAGCACCTTCTCAGAGTGGATCAACCAGTTTTGCTGCTGACAACCAAAACCAGCTGCTCACATGCTCAAGAAGGACCATCAGCCTAACAATGGATCATTAGCACACTGATGGCTGTTTACTACTCACAGAGGGCTGAGTGATACTAGCAATCACAGCATTGTAAGAGGGGGACAGTTGAACCCGGAGGCCTCCACCCCTGTTTAATGATGGACGGTTTCTTTTCACAAAGATGGCCTCCTTTACTCCTCTCTCAAACCACTGTTCCTCTCTGTCCAGGATGTGAACATCTTCATCCCTGAAAGAGTGACCGCTGGCCTGGAGATGAGTGTAGACCACAGAGTCCTGGCCTGATGATGTTGATCTTCTGTGCTGGGCCATCCTTTTGGCCAATGGCTGTTTAGTTTCCCCGATGTAAGACTAATCACAGCCCTCCTGACACTGAACAGCCACTTTAGGGGAAACTAAACAGCCACTGGCCAAAAGGATGGCCCAGCACAGAAGATCAACATCATCAGGCCAGGACTCTGCGGTCTACACTCATCTCCAGGCCAGCGGTCACTCTTTCAAGGATGAAGATGTTCACATCCTGGATAGAGAGGAACGATGGTTTGAGAGGGGAGTAAAGGAGGCCATCTTTGTGAAAAGAAATCGTCCATCATTAAACAGGGGTGGAGGCCTCCGGGTTCAACTGTCTCCCTCTTACAATGCTGTGATTGCTAGTATCACTCACTAAGCACTTTGGTAACAGTTTCTGTTTTAAATGTGCTCTATAAATAAATCTGACTTGACTTGACTTGACTCAGCCCTCTGTGAACAGTAAACAGCCATCAGTGTGCTAATGATCAATTGTTAGGCTGATGGTCCTTCTTGAGCATGTGATCAGCTGGTTTTGGTTGTCAGCAGCAAAACTGGTTGATCCACTCTGAGAAGGTGCTATTTAAGAGACTGAGCTGAAAACAGCTCCTAAGACTGAAGAAGTCTCTTGGATGAGAGACGAAACGTTTCTAGATTTTTTTGCTTTGTTTTGTTTTTTGGTTTTTTTTGAATGTCCAGAGGACCAGACTGAACTTTTTTGGATTTTTCTACCTGGATTATTGAGCATGCATCAGGATAGTATGTGATGTGTTTTAATTGTCTTTTCTCAGACACAAATCCTGTTTTAAAGACATCAGGTTTATTTCTGGATGAAGTCCTGCTCAGTAAACACCTTAATTATTATTAAATAATCCTCAAAAAATTGTTCTCAGTAAAGACCCCATTTAGAGGAGAAGTAAAATCTGCACACTCTACACTGCTACTGTACATGTCCATCAGCTCACATTTCAGTTGTTTTCAGCAGACCGCTGGATGGGTAACATGCTAACACTGTTAGCTCATGTCATTTGCTAAGGAAAACAAAAGCTTCAATTTCTTGTTTGTTCATTTGACTATTGTGTCCTTGGTCTCTTCACTTCATTTCCAGGTTTTCTCAAAAACATTGGTAAAATAAGGACAAGAAAGAAAATAATCCACCATATTTATGCCAACATTCACTATTGCTTCTTTTGTCTTCTCATCCCAGTCTATGGTCCACAAGCACAGGGTGGGGGGTGGGGGGGCGTCTTGTTACGTACACTCTAATTGGCTAAAGCATATGTGTCAAACTCAAGGCCCGGGGGCCAAATATGACCCTCGTTGACATCTTATCTCGCCCCCAAGATGATATCTGAAATGTAAAATACTTCTATCTCTTGAATTTTTTCAGTAATCTTTTATTATGATGTCGAAAGCACAACAGAGAAAATCCAATGAGACCAATCAAACTCTTGTTGAGGAACTTGTGACCAAGAAAAGATGCTGGGTATCTGATTTGAGTTAAGCCCCCAGTATACTCCCACGTACGTCCATACGTGGAGGTACGCACGTACGTACGCGGAGGTACGAGCGTACCCCCCAGGGCATGTCCGTGCAAAGCTAAATTTTTACGACCGCATACGCATATGACGTGGTGTCGCACAATAAACTGCCCGGCGACGGACTGTTTGACAAGACTGTCAACAAGGAAGAGGGCCGGCAATGGAGGAGGGGGCGTACCAAAGAGACCATCTTATCACAAGCAGAACTGGTTTGTTCCGCTTTGGAGTAAGCTGTTGGGGGAAGAATCAGTTTTGTTGTGTGTTTCCTTGACTGATGAAGCCTTCAGGATCAAAGGTGAAACGTTTCAACACAAAAAAAAGAAACTGTCCAGATGACCTGACTGAAAAATGTTGGATTGTATACCTGGATTATTGAGCATGGACTTTGTTGTTAACATATAAACACAGAACACCGCTGCGGCTGAGGCTGCCAGCGCTCGTTTATTAATATTTTCCGACCTGTCAATCAATCCAGTAGGCGTGTCAGCAAATGACCAATCGGCGACCTCAATTTTTCCCGAAGGTAAACGGCCCTTGTCTGTGAAGCTGCTCTGCAGCTGCTCAGGGTGGACGCTTGAGTATCAAGTCTGAACCCTCTGCGTACAGTACACACGTACGTACGTTCACGCGTACAGTACACGCGTACGTACGTTCACGCATACGTACGCAGGAGGATACCGGGGGCTTTAATGTAGATTCTAAAATTGGTCCTTAGTTTGAAAAAGGTTTTAATTTTGGCCCCCTTTTGTAAGTGAGTTTGACACCCCTGGGCTAAAGGCTTTGACCTTTTGGCTGAGTAGATATAACTCAATCAGCAAATCAGGTGTGGGTGGGTGGTGCTAACACCTCTCAATCACCCAACTCTATGAATGAGAATAATAAAAGTTTATGCTGCTGTTTGGGCTGTGAAAAACTAGGCTGTGACCCAGAAAAGATAATGGACGGATGGATGTTTGGTGCTGATGCTGTTCTAGACTTCACCAGAATCTGAAACAACCACTTTAAAATTTGTTTGACGGTAATTTTATTGTTAATTTTATTATTACCAAGGAGGTTATGTTTTTGGTAGCTCCTGTCTGTCTGTCTGTCTGTCTGTCTGTCTGTCTGTGCACAAGATTCCTCAAAATGTTATGAATGTATTTTCAGGAAATTTTCAGGAAATGATGATGTTCTCACAAAGACAAAAATGATTTCATTTTGGTGGTGATCTGGATCACCAACTGGATCTAGGAAATTAGAATTGTTTAAAGGATTCTTGTCTATCTGTGCACAAGATGTTAGCGTGAAAGAACCTAGTGTCTTGGTGGAGGTATGCACTCTCTGAGTGCTTCTAGTTGTAAATGTTATGGAGCCCATAGCTCATTTAAACCAGCCAACCTAAAAAACACACACAAACATGAAAAATAAAAATAATATTGCTGCCATTCACCTTTCAGTGGCAGGTAATACTTAGGAGGCTTTGAAAGAACACAACATTTTAATAGTTTACTCCTATAATTTATGTGAACCCCAAAAAATATTTGTGCATCTCTTGAATATATTTCTGTGCTACAATTTAAATGGATTCCTATGGCTTACCATATTCTGAACTGATGACGTTGACGCTGATGTCATCTCCTTGGGAAGCCTTTGCCACTTCTATCTTCTTTGACCAGCTGCCACACTTTAGCAGCAGCAAGTCGCTACAAACAGAAAAATATTATGATTAACTTCAGTTTTGTTTTCTACAGTTCCCAAAAGTCTCTGTTCTCTGATTTAGTGACTGTACATGCAAAAGAAAACAGAAAGAAAGAAAGGATTTAATAATTAATTTGAAGTCTTTCTCACGTGAGTTTCTGAAGATAAATTGTGTTGTTATCTGAGTTGCCAATGATCAGGGAGACATAGTGATGGTCTGGAGCTGTTCTCCTGCACTGCAGCTCTGCCTGGTTTTTAAGGGTCACCTTGACCACAATCTCAGCAGTGGCACTGCTGTACCTGGGAAGCTACAGAATAAAACCGATTTAGAGAAAGAAGAGCGGGAAAATGGGTAGTTCACTACAGATGTTGAAAACTGCAGTGTTTTCCTTACTGTTATACAAGAAGGGCGCCCCGCCCTGTCAACAGAACTGAGTGCCCTGCCTAATATGCTCTCACGCTATCTCAAGGGTTTTTCACAGACTTTAAGTCCAGGTGGGCATGTTCTGTTTACTGGGAGATGTTCCCATGTAATGCAGAGAGTATAAAGTGTGACACTCAGAATTAGAGTTGAAGTCTGCTGTGGATCCTGATCCGATGCCCAGCCTGAATTGATGTTACCTTTTTACTCGGACTGAAACGGCTTCCCAATCTGGTGTCACGGTGAGGGGCTTTTTACATCAATATCTGATTTGTACTGAATGTACTTGTGCTTTGCTGTATCTGTGGCGGTGTAATAAAATGACACTTATTATTCTAGCAGAAACAGCCTGTGACTTTTTATTCATTGTTCCGACCGTTCACCTGACCCTGTATTTTGTTTAAGATAATTTCATAGAACACCGGAGAAAACCCATGCATGCACGGAGAGAACATGCAAACTCCACCCAGAAGGCCCCTGAACCGGGGTTTGAACCAAGGACCTGCTCGCTGAGAGGCAGCAGCTCTACCAGTTGCGCCACCGTGCTGCCCCAGATCATGACAGTGCATCAATATTTTCAAGTTTTGACCAAAACAGCTTTAGCTCCATCCCTTCTCAACATCAGCTGACCTTAGTTCAAAACCCAGACACGAGAGGCAGTGGGTAACAAGCATTCCTTCAAGAAATGTTTGGCTTTTTAATTCCTGAAATGTTTTAGGTTAATGTAATTTGATGCTTTCGGTTCATTTGTGCACTAGAATTAATAAAAAGTTTAGGTTTTTACTAAAACATCACAATAAAGATTAGCAAAGAAAAAGTTTAAAGTATGACAAATATAAGATCACTACCTCAATAGTAACAGTTTGCTCTAATATTTACCTGCTCCAGTGTAATGCTGTACTTTGGGAGGTGCGTTACAGATTCTCTGATTTGGTTTCCAAACGGTGGATGCCTGTTGACAATCTGTTGGACAGAAGTTGACCAAAGTTACATTTAACAGAATTATACGGTTATTACAGAAACACGAGCAACCCTTAAATCCTGAAATCCAAAACAGCAAAAGGAGTTTCCCTTGAATACAAACTCAAACTGTGTGGCTCAGATATGGCCTGTGTTACAGTCTTTAGGTCTATGAGATATTGTTTGAAATGTATTAGAATAAGGCTGCCAATCTGTCACAAATCGAGTCTTTGTAATTTTTGGAGGCGATCAAAAACATTTTCAAGACAAGAAAGATAAGTTTGAATTTTTCAGTAATTTTGGTTTTGATGTGAAAAAGGAACAAAGAACATCAAGATCAAATTTTGACTGAACATCAACAGCAATCCAACTCTTTATTTTTATTTAGGTGGCTTTACTTTGTAGAAATCTTTTTTCACTTTGACGTGAAATAATTATTTTTTTAAACACATTTTCTTGTCAAAAATCCTAATTTATACTGACCATGATTGATTTATAATGACAGTAAAGTATAAAACATCCAAATAGGGTGAATACTTTTTATAGTGCAACCACATCAAACTTTAGCTCAGTGTTTGTAAAACATTTTGTAACATTGTGTGTGCTGGCTAAGGTCGATTAGCTGTGGCAGCCATTTTGAATCTGGTGAACTACAAAACTAGTATAATTGTAGAACTCCATCCAATAAGTACTTTGTGAAAGTATTATTAAAATCTATCCAAAGGTTCATGTGATACTGTATATCCACACAGACCCACACAAACTCACAAGAGCAAACCCATTATGGCCTTTTTGTCATAAAAAAAACTCAGGTCAACTTATGTTTTTCAATAGATAGTAACAAAGATTGGGTATTAGCTTTGATCAAGATTTTAATTTAGTCACCCCCTATGTGTGTATAAGTTTAATTTAGCAAACTGACCAGCTCCAGCTCCCTGGGGTTGGTTTGCTCTATTTTGGTGAAAGTGGTGAGTCCAGCGTTTACCATTGCTGTAGACAGAGACTGACCTGAAACACACAATGTGTTAATATTAAATTGTTTTAAACTACTTTACAAAGAAAGAAATATTAGCTTAATAATTTCATTAGTAACAACTACAAAGCAGAACTTTACAACTTAAGAACACAAAAATAGGTTAAAAAATACTTATAGTGCTGTATTTTTGATTAGGTCCTTTTGAGTGAATTCTTATGAAGCATTCGTACTATTGTCATCCATTTTTCTTCCATAAGTTTTTCAGTGCGTTTCTCGTCCCGTAGTTTTCAAGCTATTTAAAAAAATCATATCAAAATGTTCAGCTCCTTCAGGACAATCCTGATATTCATTTTACATCCTTCAAATCTTTAGATCTGTTTACCAACTTTTACTACTCCTTTCACATTTTGTTCTGCTTCAACTTCTTTCAGCATTTTTTTGTGCAAATTTAAACACGTTTTTCAGCTATTTTCAGCAAATTTCAGTTTTTTTTTAATCCTTTCAGATTTTTTCTGCTAACTACAACATTTTTGTGCTTCTTCTAACTTCTTTCTGTTAATTTCAGCTTGTTATGCTCCTTTCAGCTTATTCATGCAAGTTTCAGCTTTTTCTATTATTTCAGCTACTATATACTGGTAGCTGTTTTTATGTTAATTTAAGGTTTTTCAGCTAATTCCACATTTTTTGCACTCAATTCAACTTTTTTCAGCATAATTCAACACAAATGTGCTCTCTCCACTTCTTTTTGGTAATTTAAGCTTCTTCTGACTTTTTATCCACTTTTCAGCTGTTTTTGCTCATTTCAGCTTTTTCAGCTAATTTCTACTTTTTGTGCTCATTTCTGCTTCTTTCAGCCTTATTGGACAAAAATGTTCTTGCTGCTTTCTTCTGTTAATTTAGGTTTGTATACCTTTTCAGCTACTTTAAAAAAAATGATGATTATTATTATAGTTAATTTCAGCTGTTTTCAGATAAATTAAAGTTTTTCATGGACATTTTTGCTACTTTCAGCCTAAGTAAATTCTTTATGCTAATTTCAGCTCATTATGCTTCTTTCATTTTTTTTTAAACTAGTTTCACACTTTTCAGCTACTATTTAGTTATTTTACGCTAATTTTAGCTTTTTCTGCTAATTTCACTTTTTTTTAGCTCATTTCAGCTCTCTCCACTTCCTTCTTGTAGGTTAAGCTTCTTTCTGCCTTTTCATCTACCTTTTAGATGTTTTTTTGTTGCTAATTTTAGCTTTTTTTGGCTGATTTCCTCATTTTATGCTCATTTCTGCTTATTAAAACCTACCGTAATCCAGCAAATATGTGTTCTATCTGCTTTCTTCTACTATTTTAGAGTTGTTCTTCCATTTCAACTACATTTCAGCAGTTTTTCCAGCAAGTTCTTCTGCTATAAGGACCCCACTCACCCAGCACACACACTTTTTGCCCCACTCCCCTAAGGAAGGAGGTTGAGGAGCATTAAGTGTAGAACCACTAGAGTGAGGAACAGCTTCTGCCCTAAGGCTGTTAGACTCATGAATCTCTAACCAGAATAATCACTGTGAAAAAAAAATCACATCATGTTGCTGCTGATCCGTTTCATGTTGCTGCTGATCTGTTTCAATGTTTATGTGTTCATGGGTGCTCATCTGCTCACACAGACTCATGTTCATGTTTGTGCTGATGTTCGACGTAATGTTTTTTATGCTATTAGTGCTTAGTGTATATTTAATTGATGTTTTGCTTGGTTCATATCTTAGATTTTATTACTGTTTTTCTTATACATTTTATTGTTGGATGTAACTGGGACCCTGTGTACATAATTTCGCTCCACCACATGTACCACATGAGGTGCGAATGACAATAAAGAAACTCTGACACTGAATAAGCATTCACACTGCATTTTTGCAAGAAATGCAATTTTTCTAGTTATTATTATTATTATTATTATTATGGACAGTTTAACTAAACCAGAACAGTGTATTCACCTATCTTTTCCAGTTGCTTGGAGACATAGGGTGAGTTTTCCCAAAGCTTAGCTCTGAAGCACTTAGCCAGGATCAGGGAGTTAAGAACAGCAGTAAAGACAGTCTTGGACTGATGGCTCAGGAACTCTGACAGGCCTGCCAGGATCAAAACACAAGCAAAGTTAATTAATTTATTATTACATTTATGTATTTTTATGTGTTATTTACTATTGGTATTTTTTAAGCGTTCTTATGTTTTACAATTTGACATTCATACATTTACTAATACGCATCCCGATTCTGAAGATCTTTGCTGTATCTTGAGTAAGTCCAAAATCTTGAACCATGATGGAACACATCTGAGCCTGAATCAAGCTACAAGGCAATAAAAATGTATCACCCGTCAAGGACAGTTCATAAAACATCAGCAGCAATATGCTAAAATGAACTTAACCTACCAGTTTACTTTCATCTCATTGGTTTTAATCTTTCCCTCTAGGGGAAATCTGGAAAAAATATACATACAAAATGCAAATAAACCTTGTTTCTAAAATAATGCTATTGAATCTGATGACATGAACATGTTTGACCTGATGGTGGTCCTGTTTTTGTCCCGGTTCAGAGTGTTCAGGGTTCTTCTCTCATTCACTCTCAACTGAATGTCACTGAACTCTCTGCTCTTTGACACCAACTCAACCTGCAGAAACATTGAAAAATACACTTTGATCTGAAATCGATCAATGGATCCATCCATCCATCCATCCATCCATCAGCAGATCAAAGAGATAAATCCAGACATTCTTCTCCCCTGGGACACTCTTCACCTCCTCCTGGGAGATCCCAAAGCATTTCCAAGCCAGAAAGTATACATAATTTATCCAGAAAGTTCAGGGTCTCACCAGGTCTCCTCCCAGTCCTACTTGCCCAGTAGGCATCCTAATTAAAATACCAGAACCACATCAGATGACTCCTTTGGATGCAGAGGAGCAACAGATTTCCTTGTCCCCTGAGAGATGGAGCTCCTCACTTTATCTTAGACTGAGCCTGGCCTTCCAACAGAGCAAGCTCCTTTCAGCTTGTTTGTTTGTCCATCATGATCCATAACCATAGATGAGAGTTGGAATGTAAATAGACAAAGGTAGTATCTCACTGAGCTGCAACTGTTGGAGACTAGTTAGAGACAAATTTGTCAGAAAACAGGTGTTTACTTGCAGTCTCACTGAATTCTGAATGTTTGTAACCAAGTGAGCCATGCATCTGTGTTTTCAATGGCCAGTTTTTAAAAATCATGGATTAGTGTCATGTGCATAACTTGCAAATATATACTCTTGGCCGTACACATTATTCTGATACCCACTTCTGCCCACATCATACCCATCTTGGCAGCCAACCTACAGTTATTTAAATGACAGGGAAATATTTGGGACAAAAGTAAGAAGGGTTTAAGAAAGGTTTTGAAGTCATTGCTTAATAACTGCAGACAACTCTGCAATTATTTTGATTTATTGCACACATTTTTTAACATATTTAAAACTCCAGCAGTAAGATTGTGCACCTCTACTATACACGCAAGGAAATTCAGATCCATGGCGAGAAATTTTGGAGACTCCATTGAAAATGCCGTTTTCTAGCTAGTCACCAACAGTCTCTGCCTAGTGAGATACTACCTTTAATTGCAAGCATTATCTTTCATCTCAGCTTCTTCTTCACAAGAGACCTAAGAAACACTCAGTAAGACAGACAAGACCCTGATCCGTTGTTGATCCATCTCCTGCTCCATCCTGCCGTCACTGTGAACAAGACTCCCAGATATATGAACACCTTCACGTGCAAAAACTCATGACCAACCCAGAGAAAAACATCTATCTTTTCATGGCTTTGCTTTTTTCTGGTATGCATTCTATATAATTCCTTTGTTGTTGTTGTTTGATACAGTACGAATGTTTTCAATAATTTTTTAATTACTTTTTATGGTTTTTTTTTATCTATTTTACTCTAATGTTTACTTACTGGAGCCTATAAAACTGTGTTCTTGCTCTTACATTTTGAAGAATCCTTAAAAGCCAAATCTATTTTTCCAGCCTAGCAATACAAAACATTTTAATAAAATACTATAATTAACTAAAGTAAAGCCTACCAGGTCAGATAAACTTTCAGTGCCGACCACTTTGCTGAACTGCTTCATCGTGTCAAAGGCAACACAAAACCTCGCCATCAGCCTGCCAGCCTCTGTCAAAAAATTAAAAAGAAAACTTTAGGCTTTAATAAAAGGCAGTTACAAATATTTTTGGAGAAAGACAAACATTATATGCACAATATTCATGATATAAAATATAAAAGAAGCTAAACAGGGCACTTATCTCAACATTTTCTAAGCACCTCTTACCTGTTGGTTTGATGTTGACGTCCTCATCCATACTGATTAAATCAATGGACGACAGAGCATTGAGGTTCTTCAGACACAGTTCTACAATGGGATGAGATAAACAACCTTAAACTTGTACATCAAAATGATATTCGCAGTGTGTAAAACTGTTTTTGCAACTTCGGATTTGATCTAATAAATTAAAGGAATATCCTAATAAAAGTAAGATGATAAGGAATGATCAGCTGTTCCTCACCTTGCAATTTGGCTTCAATGCCACATCTGTCCAAGTCAGCAGAAAAACCTGAAAACAAAGTAGACATGAAGTAAACAGCTGGCCACAGCTGTTCTATTCAATTCAATTTACTCATATAGTACAAATTCAAAACAAAAGTCATCTTAGGGCATTGAAGAAAATAAAAAAAAAGTTCAAATCACGAATTCAATTCAGATCCTAATATTAATTAAATATTTAATCAAATTCCTATTATAATAGAATACATTATTATACAGTACATCATGCTATGCCAGCATTGTGTTGAATCTGCACTTTGTCACAATCTCCCATCCTGATCAGCATGGAGGCGAACAACTTCCTTTTAACAGGAAGAAACCTCTAGCAGAACAGGGACCAGGATGGGCAGCAGCCATCTGCCTCAGCTGGCTAGAGTTTGAGAGGATTGAAAAGAAAGAATTGGTCCAGGTGTAGTTTCTATGGTAAGAAAATATAAGAAAACACATGTTAATGTGCTTAAAGTCTTAAGCCTAGTCTTAAAAGAGTGTCAGCCTCATGGACAGAAACAAGAAGTAGGTTCCACAAGAGAGGAATACGATAACTAAAGCCTATCATTCTACTTTTAGGAACTCTGGGAAACACAAGTAAACCTGCAGTTTTACAGTGATGTGCTATGTTTGGAAAATACATGGAACAATAACATCTGTAAGATGAAGACTGGTAGTTACAAGCTTTGTTGAATGAAACAGAAGATGGACACTTTCTGATAGCTAATCTGAGACTGAGGCTCTCACCGTAGTGTGTGGGATTCTTGAGGGCTCTGATGTAGAGAAAGGTGGAGCGTATCCAGTCTAAAGCCATGTTGACATTGCTGATGGTTTGGAGAACAATCTCAGCATTCAGGTGCTCTACCAGGTGACTGTGTAAGCTGGGGAAGCAGAGTGTATTGTTACCTGATGTACTGCAGTATCTTCTCTTGTTAGTATGTTGGTGTGAGAAAAAAAATTAAACTAAGTGCTCTTTGTTATACCTGCTCTCAATGATTTCTATTCCATTCACAAGTTTCATGTATTTGTCTCTGGTTTGAACCTTGGTCATAATCACTGCAGTCGCTGATGAATCAAACTAGAGCAGTGAAAACCAAATAACGAGACATTTTATGACCTAAATACATTAACAGATGTCTACAAAATATTCAAATTAAAAGTGTGCTCCCACCTGAGGTCGTCCTGCCCGGCCAATCATCTGTAGGATGTCAGCCTCACTGTACTCCTCACAGGAGCCTGCAACATACTGCATTGTGGACTTGATCACCACCAGGTGAGCAGGAAGATTTACACCCATGGCCAGAGTCCTGGTGGTAACTGAGAGTGAAAATCAACAAAATACAAATTCAACTTTTATAAAATAACCCTGGATTCAAAATGTAATAACATATTAAAAGTTATGTTACAGTTTTGAACAGACATGAGCAATTTTATTTTATTATTTTTTATTACAATTGCATCTGAGTTATTATTTAAGCAGACTTAGTGGATGAAAAAAATATTACTGTTAATTCAAATAGTGTTAACTGCAATGTTTTGTGTCTTGTGAAGCAACTACCAATATGAAAATAAGATTTTAAGTAACTGATTTTTTATTTGTGTTGATATGCTTAGATTAAGACTACTTGTGGTGGTTACTTTACAAAACTTTGTTTTCACCCCTTTGCTCTGAAGCTCCAACCATCACCTTCAGGAGCAGCATAGTTTAATAAGATCTATCTGTGGACAGTCTAATTGCCAAATTATCTCAGTTTATAAACATCAGTTCTGATAGACACCAGAATCACCACAAGCCCAACACCTCAAGACATTAAGGACTACCACCAAGCAAAAGACATCATGAAGACAAAGGAACTCTCCATGCAGCTTAGAGAAAAAGTTGTGATGTACAGATCAGGGTTGCGTTGTAAGAAAAATCCTACACCTTGAAAATGTCCAAAGCTCCATTAAATCTATTATTAGAAAGTGGAAAGACGATGTCATCCAAGCAAACCTGTCACGATAGTCAAAGAGGACAACCAGACAAGGAGGACATTCATCATATAAGTAATCAAGAGGCCAAAGAGCTTGTGAAGATTCTGTCAACCAGGTCATAATCAATCCCCCAAAAAAAGAGTGTATTTTGTTGTTTTGTATCAAGAGGCCAAAGAAAACCCTGATGGAGCTAGGCAGCTTTTCTAAAGAAATGGGAGCTCACAATCTGGGTATGTGCATCTTATGGTGGTCCATAGGACACTATAAAAGGAAAAGGCCATTGTTGGAAGAGAAAAATAAAGAAGACTCTTTGGAATTTCTCTTTCAAACATATAGAAAAAAATCTGTGGTCAGATGAAATTAAAATTGAGCTTTTTGACCAACGAGAACAGGAGCAGACCTACCAATTCCCATGATGTTAAGAAAACCATCCTGCAGTGAAGCATGGTCATGGTAGCATCAGCAGAAACTGGGAAATGGTCAGAGTTGAAAAAAGATGGATGACGCAAAATACAGAGAAAGTCTTGATGGAAACCTGTTTGAGTCCTTCAGAAATCTGAGACTGGACAAAGATCCCCCGCCAGCACCCTAAACACAATACTGAAGCTACACTCCAGTGGTTTAAGGAAAATAAAGCGCAGGATGAGCTCAAGATGAGACTGGTTCTGGTTCTGCTGATTTCATTCTGTTAAAAGTAAGTTTTACATTTTCACTGCCAACAATGTGCTGCTCATGATGGAAGACTGTGACCAAGTGAAGATTTGACACAATCTGTTGGCTTCATAGATCATTTTTTACTAATCTGGGTTTTATAATTTAAAGTTTGTGAATGTTTTTGTAACGTGCCATGAGATGACTTAATAGGCACTACATAAATAAAATTAATCTAATTGAAAAGTGAAAACAGTAAAAATGTATTTTTATATTTTGGGAGTAGTCCCAAAAATGTTCTTTTTACTCCTAGAATATACAGTATTTAGTCTCACAAAGAACAGGCAGGTCCCCCAGAGTGAAGGCTTCTTCTATCAGCTTCCTGTCAGACAAGTCAACTCCTGCATGGTGGTATCCAATTCCTAACATCACTAGATCTGAAATAAAAACACAAAAGTAATGCTACACATGCGATCAAGGACTCTAAGCTCTCTCCGAGGCTCAAGAATTAAATGGCCACATATTTTTGTAATAACAAAGGATTTTAAACATGCATTTCCACGAACAGTAGAAAAATACACAGCATGTATTTCCACGAACAGTAGAAAAATACACAGCTGAGTTCAACATAGCACTTAACATCTGTCACAGCTGTATGTAAACTTTGGGCCTTTGGGCACATGTAAGGTTTTAAACAGAACTTTAAAGATAGATTAGAATCCAGAGGACCAGATTGAACTTTTTTGGATTTTTCTACCTGGATTATTGAGCATGCATCAGGATATTAGAATAATGCACTGTCATTCAGACACAAGAGAAAATTACTTGGCTTTTAGAGGGTTTAAATGAGCTAAAAGGCTTTACCTCGTAGTTTTGAATCCAATGTAGAATTTGCATATTTCATCAACCTACAAAGTCAAGGGAATAAAAAACAAACAAAACGCTGTAATTTAAATTTTCTTAGAAATTTTTCCACTATATTATGATGAAAAGGGGAAACAACACAACCTTTGCTTGTGTTCACAGCTCATGATAAATCGAGCATCTTTGGCCAGCACAGTAGCTGACTGCTGAGCTCCTTTCCTTGTGGAGCAAAACTAAAGAATAAAAGTGACTGTTATTAAAACGTGATGTAATTAATGAATCAACAGCTTTAAATCAATTTATTAATGACACACACATATATAATATTTTGTTTTACCTCCATTGTGATATTAACAAGCCTAAGTAACTAAAAATATTAAAATTTTATCTCAATATCTGTAAAATTTACTAAATTATAGCCTTCTTTGTGTTTACTAAGGTCTGTTAACTGTGGTGTAGAGTTGCATTCAAGCCCAAAAAATCTGCCCCGACCTGGCCCCAGCCCGCAGCAATCATTTCTGAACCCCCACCCAACCCGACCCAATGAATTAACAGTAATTACATGTCCAAACATGAAAAAAAAAAAAACATTTTTAATTAAACTTTGACTGCTTATATAGTTATTAACGGTTGGCGGATGCATGCGGCTGAATAAAAGAGGCAGAAGATCGGAGCTGAGGGGGGTGTTTGTCCTTTTATGGCCGTCAAAGCGCATTAAATCCCTGCTTATGCCTGCATTCTGTATTATTCAGACACGGACCCTGCTCTGACATATCTGCTTTGGGATCTCATCTGTTTGGGTCGTCAGTCGTGCGCGTCCACTGAATGCAGCAGCTGAACATCCATTTGGGCAATGGATCGCTAGTATCGGTAGTCCCATCTGAAGCTTAACTGAACTTTATTTGACCTCTTTTAAGGCCTGTCAGCTTGTGGTGAAATGGCCGCGTGCGGATGGTGATGGTAGCAAGCCATGTTGTCATATAATTGGATTGTATGGCAAGCCATCTTGTCATATAATTGGATCGCAGCTAATCCGCTGACACAATCAAAAGCCCGGCACTGACCCGGCCCGCCCATCCAGCATATTATTATGGTCCGGCCGGCCCAAATTCGGGTCAAACCGCGCTGGACTTAGGGCCCGGGTTAGAAATGACAGCTCTACTGTGGTGGACCTCTTGGATTGACTCCAACGTTAATCAGTTGTAGATGTGCAGCCAATGATTACTTTGAGAGTTGAATTAAAGTCCAGCCACAAGTGATGCATGACATGCTTAAGTCAAAAGTATACATGTATATATGCACATGGACACAGGCAAAAACACACCCTTCCACCTTCAGCCGTGGGCAATAATAAATATATTGCTGGGCAAACCAGTGTTGCTCAGGGAAGCTAAAGCTCCACTGAATAAACAAACAAAAAATAAATAAATTCACTCTGATGACAGAGTGAACGGATGCTCTGCTGTACTGACTATCCATCCATCCATCCATCCATCCATTATCTTTACTCGCTTATTCCATTTTGGGTCACGGGGGTTGCTGGTGCCCATGTCCGGCAATCACTGTGCAAGGGGCGGAGGACACCCTGGACGGGTCGCAAGTCCATCACAGGGACACATAGAGACAAATGAGACAAACAATCATTCACTCTCTCACTCACACCTAGGGACAATTTAGAGTTATCAATCAGCCTAACATGCATGTTTTTGGTCTGTGGGAGGAAACCGGAGTACCCGGAGAAAACCCACGCATGCACGGAGAGAACATGCAAACCCCACCCAGAAAGGCTCCTGGACCGGGGTTTGAACCAAGGACCTGCTCGCTGAGAGGCAGCAGCTCTACCAGTTGTGCCACCGTGCTGCTCCTGTACTGACTAATTAATCTTATTTTATGTAAACAAAAATGCTTTCATCTGCAATTATATCTCTTATCAACTGTATAAAATGTGGCCTTGGAACTTTTTTTTGTCAGCAAGGGACACCCAAAACAACCACATAAACTCTATTCTTTCACCTACCACTAGCGTAGGCTTCTGATCAGAGTAAGTCTGTATGATGTTAGCCATCTTGTAGTTAAGCGACAAGTCAAACTTAAACACTGTTTGGTTCTGGCTGCAGGGGAATCCCAGCACCACCTTCCGAAGCTTCACTGGACGGTGGCTCTCATCCATACTCAGGTATGTGGCCGGCCCACTCTCATTTGAAAGCCAATCTGCTATCTGATGAAATGTAGGCAGTTCAAGAGTCAGTCACAAATTACTGTTGTATGTTACAGAAACAGCAGAATCTCATGAGTAAATCTCTTTTTCATGCACTTACATCAGATATGTTGGGGATAGTGGCTGAAACAGCCACAAATCTCATTGACAGGTCCACCTCAGGATTCTGTGATGTTCTGAACGTATGCACTGCCTTCATCCTGCTCACCACAACTTCCAAAGTGGCGCCACGGGTTGCATCTTTTACCACATGTACCTGGAAAAACATATTTGAACAGTTAAACCTGGAAACATTTGAGATTTACCAGGAATAAAGGAGTGAAGGAGGAAGTTGACCAGTCAGTACAAGAAAGCACACTCTAAACCAACTGGGCTGATTTATGAAGGATGTTATATTACAGCTGCCAGGAAGATGCTTATATTTATTAGCAAATCTTCGAGTAAAAATGAATGAAGGAAGAAAATAATTATGTTCAGTGTCATAAGTACCACAGTGACTGTTCATCATGATTCATGTAAAGTAGGGGTCCTGAAATGGCAAACTGTGGTTTAGATCCCAAACCAAATTGAGTTGTATTCAAATGTAGATAAATCATTTAAATAAAAATTAAATAAATCATAATAAATAAATAAACAAGTACATAAATAAACAAGTAAATAAATAAATTTCGATAAACCTACTCACACAGACTCATGTTCGTGCTGCTGTTTGATGTAATGTTTTTATGATATTAGTGCTTAGTGTATTTTTAGTTGATGTTTTTCTTAGTTCATATCTTAGAAGTTATCATTGTTTTTCTTGTACATTTTATTGTTGGATGTAACTGGGACCCTGTGCACATAATTTCGTTCCACTACATGTACCACATGTGGTGGAACGACAATAAAGAATCCCTGACTCTGACTCTGATTACATTTATGTAGAGCATATTTATGTACCTGCTTATGTTTGCCTGAACATCTGTGGTAATTTTCCCCCAAAATAATTTCTGCAGGTTGGCTTTCTGTATATCCATCAATTTTATTTACCCACTTTTCTGTGCAGGGTTGCAGGGAGCTGGTGTCTATCTCCAGCAACCACTGTGCAAGAGGCAAGGGAAACCTAGACAGGTTGCAAGTCAATCATGGAGACACAGAGACAAAAAAGACAGACACCCAATCACGCTTTCACTCACATCTAGGCTAGGGGCAATTTAGAGTTACCACATGCATGCTTTTGATCTGTGTGAGGAAACCGGAGTACCCAGAGAAAAACCCACATGTGCAGGAAGAGAACACAATGGCCACATAGGAAGACCACTGGTGTGAGGCAAACCCGCAACCTTCAAGCTGTAAAGCAACAGCTCTAACCACTGTTCCACCTTGCTTCCCAGATTGGCTTCCCTTTGTAGCAAAATGCCAACCCTGTTATAAATACATGCTTGAGAAAAGTAAAACCACAAGTGAATGAATTTGGCCTATAGTTCCAATGTAAAGAACACAGGTGTAATTTTTGATCAGTAAATCATTTAACCCCCCCACATTAAAAATGTTACAATCTTATATTAAAGATCTTGTTTAGCATTTTCCTAACAAAGCACTTCACTCTCAGACTGCAGATTTATTTGGGGATCCTAGTTTCCAAATGTAGAAGGTAGGCAGATCTTTTTGCCTCTTGTGGAACTAACTTCCAGTTTCTGTCCATGAGGCTGGAACCCGGTCTACTTTTAAGACTAGGCTTAAGACTTTCCTTTTTGATCAATCCTATAGCTAGAGACTGTTTGACAAACCAAGATTCCTCACTCTGCTGCTGCCTTTACTCGCTCTACTTTCCATGTACAATATTTTCCATTGTATTTGTAATTATTACTGTAAATAACGTGAGGTTTCTTTCCTTACAAACTACTCCTAGACCAGCGTATTAGTGTCCCTTTCCTGTCTTCTCAAACCTCAAGCCAGTAAAGGCAGACGGCCACTCATTCAGAGCCTAGTTCTGTAGTTTTTTTTCTTGTTAAAAGGGAATGTTACCAATGATTTTCTTAGAGACACACAACTTTTACTAATTGGCATTTTATTATGTATGTGAATGTTGTTGTTCAGTGCCTTGACATGACTTTTATCAATTGGTATTAGATAAATAAGCTCAACTGAGTTGAATTAATAGAACCCTGACAGTCACTGAATGTCCATCAACACCTAAACTTTGAGTAAACATCCATACCTGTTTTAGCAGATCTTTATTATACTATTAACTTCTTAAACTTGAATTAGAAAGTAGGAATATTAGTGTTATACATTTATTTTAATACATATTGTAAACTTGATAAAAGTTTAGATTTATATGATAGTTAAATTTTATTTTCTGCACACATTCTGGATGGTTTGCTGGACAATATATTTTACTGATTTTACATTGAAGACCACTGCTTTAGAAAATCCTTAACTTTATGTTGTGAGACAAATTCACTCACTTCATCAATAAGGAAGAGTCTCACCAGCTGCAACAAACAATTATCCTTCCATTTTCTTGTCATGCTGTCCCACTTTTCCTAAGACAAGTAAAATAATTTATTAATGCATAATAATATACATTCAACCACTGTATTTTAAGTTAAATAAAACCTTGTATAAAGTTTAAATTTTTACAGTTCCTATTTATCATTTTTGTTGCACTTTTTTAATTGAGATGCAGAGTTGTATCACACACAGGCGTGGTCAGGATAATGTGAGAGTCGTGAATCTCAAAAAAGTCATCAATCTCTGTGTCACCAGTCAGCTCCTTGCAGTTCAGCCCCAGAGGACCAAACTTCTTCTTCCAGCTCTCAAAGCACTGACTGCAGAGAGCTTTAATAGGAGCCACTGATGAGAGCAAACAAAAAGTATGTTTATTATTGTGAAAATGCAATAGATGTTAAACAAAAGAGCACAATAGTAGATAAAAGCTAAAATTATAAGAATTGCAGCAAAGACCCTAAACCAGCTGAACAGTATTTAAAAGCTAAAACAAGTAAAACAGTAGCAAAACAAAAGCTACAAGCTAAAATTTGTCAAGCAATACCTAAAGATCATAATTATTAAAACTCTAAGTAAAAACTAAAATTAGCTAAATTGTTATTACATGCTAAAATCAGCAAAACCTTAGCTAAAAGCTAAAATTAGCTGAAAAGTAGCAACAAGATAAAAAATAGCCAAACAGGAGCATAAACAAAAGTGAAAGAATAGCAAAAAGTTAAAATAGCGGTAAGTCAAATAATTGCTAAATAATTAAAATTAGCTACACTCTAACTAAAAGCTAAAATCAACAAAACCACAGCTGAAATTATCAAAATTATGACTAAAGGCTAAAATTTGTTTTAAACAAAAGGCAATACATATAATTAGCAAAAATGTTGCTTAAAGTTAAAGTTAGCAGAACAGAAGCAAAACGCTTAAACCAGAAAAACAATAGCAAAAAGAGAAAATTAGCCAAACAGTTGCAAAATTGTGAAATCAGCAAAACCACAGCAAAAAGCTAAATGAAGCATAAAAAGACACACATACAGCTACCGGTAGTTTGTTAAATCAGGTTTCAAAGACATTTTTAAAGGAACTGAAGAGAATTCCTATGAGATCAATTTTGATAAATAAAGCTAAATATTTAGACAAGTATAGACGTTACAAAAACCAAAGGTCATAACGCACAATTGCTGATCAATGTGAACAATCTGATGTTTAAATAAAACAGCACAAAGATTGTGAAAGCACTTTGATTGGAAAAAATGTATTGAAGAAACAATAAACAGAAAAATAATAATGTGAGTGCTGACTCAGCATTCTCACATAAGAACTAAATTATTTCTAGCCATGTTCCTGCAAACGTCTCGATCTCAACAATAATGTATGCTCACTGTATACAGCTTTGACATCCCTCCATGGCTCTGACGTCTCCATCAACAGGCGAATGATAGCCAGCTCAAACAGTACTGTTTTACCGGATCCAGTGGGAGCGCAGGCCACAAAGTTCTTACTTGAGTACAGGACCTAAAGACAAACCAAAACCAGAGCACCAAACACCTCCAGGTATAATGTATTTTCTCTACCAGTTTTGTGCTTACATCATCCAGAGCTTTAGACTGAACATAGTTGAAAAAGGGGAAGTCACTGAAGATGGATCTGAACTTCACAGCTATGTAGCACATTTCAGGAAATCAAACCAAAGTATTTGCATACATTTTAAATATTCTAGCACAATTCAGACACAATCTACTCATTTTAAATTGTGCTCATCTACACACATCTACGTACACAATTTAAAAAGGATACGAATTTCTGAAACTGGCCGCAAAACTCCAGAATTAGTAGATCCTACAAGGTGAACAAATCAAGCAGTCATTAAATTTCATTTTCTGTCACTTTGAAGAGAAAATTTATTTGCAAAAAATGACGTTGCAATTTTTTATTTAATTTAGCTATACATATATTTCTTTTAAATTGGTAGTGAGTTATCAGTGTCTATGTTTCTGCTACTTGTTGTTAAATCTACTTTTTAACAGTGATGCAGTCATTAGATAAGCTCACCTTATTTCATCTCATCACACTCAAACACATTGTGGCAGCTAATGTTAAGTAATGACCCCACGCTCATCAGCAGGAGAGTTTTCCTATCGTAGCATCATCTGATAAACCAGCATATATCTGTGATTGTGTCAGTGTTGAGCAGAACCTGGTATGTGGAGTGGTTGGGGTGTCATGGGTGGGACGAAGGCTCTCTTTGTGCCCTTGTCCTGCATTTCTGCATGCGGCGCCTGATACAGGGGTCGGCGACTCACTGCAGAACCCAGAGGAGGAGGCAAGAGCGGGGGCTTGGAGGGAAAAGGAGCTGCAGGGCCAACTGTCTCTTCTAGAGGCTGAAGAGCAGGATCCACAGTTGTCATGGCAACCTGATTGAGAAAAGTTTGAGGTCTGGACGTAGTCTGGCTGCTGCTGCTACTCTTGAGGTCATTGTTGGTCGATGAGTCGCCTCTGCTGGCCATGTCTGGGATCTTGAACAAGCTGATATGGGATTGAGGAGAGAGAGAGAGAGAGAGA